ATTACAGAAAGGGGGCTTTCCTACAACTGGAATAAGGAGCTTAGCATTAAATTAATGCGTGAATGCACCCATTACAATGGTCTTAAGTAAATACTTGCATTTACAATCATCAGTTAAATGATGATCAAGTTGATCAACTATAGGAGTTTAAAGTTGAATTGAGATGGAGGGGCATTTGGTCTATCTTGGTCCTGATAATGATGAAGGCAACAATGTAGAATCACCATGAGCAACTCCACGATTTGGATTACCAGCTGCCGTTCTTGTAATCACAGTTGGATTCAGGAAATCATAACTAAGATTGGTTTCAGCTGAAACTAATCCCTCTAGCACCTTAACTACTAAGGACATCGAAGGCCTTTTGGTGAAATCACCTTGCAGACACCATGCTGCAATCTTCATCATCTCCACAACTTCTTCAATGTTATCATGCATGCCTTCGCTTCTCTTGTCCACCAATTCCTCGAGTTTTCCTTCTTCGGCTTTTCCCTTGAAGACTGCAAGCAAATGTCTATCTTCTTCACTCCTAGACCAATCCACATTCTTCCTTCCACAAATGATCTCTAGCATTACTATGCCGAAGCTGTAAACATCCACCTTTTCGGTAATGGCTGAACTCAGCCATTCAGGAGCCAAATATCCCGGTGTTCCTCTCATCTTAGTGATGACTCGGCTTTGATCCTTTTCAATCAGTTTTGATAGTCCAAAATCTGAAATTTTGGCCTTGAAGTGTTGGTCAAGGAGGATGTTTTGTGGTTTAATATCCAGGTGAATTATTTTCTTACTACATTTTTCGTGAAGGTAAGTTAATCCCTTTGCTACATCTGTGATGATGTTCCTTCTTGTTTGCCATGGAAGACAGTGGTTTTCTTCTTTTCCAGGAAAGATCCATCCGTCCAGGGATTTGTTGGCCATATATTCATATACAAGAAGCCTGTGTGATTTCTCAAAACAAAATCCGATTAGTTTCACCAAATTAACATGGTCAATTCTGCCAATTGCCTTTACTTCAACAAGAAAAGAATCCTTCACTTTTGCTAAACCATCAAGACACTTGACTGCTACTTTTGTTCCATCGGTGAGTGTTCCAGCATAAACTGATCCAAAGCCTCCTTCCCCAAGTTTATCAGCAAAATCCTGAGTTGTGCTTTTCAAGTTCGTATAAGAGAATCTAGTAGGCATTCCTGGTACATGGTCAAGAAAATCATCGTCGATGTTTTTGTATCGTTTCCTGAAATAAACAAGGCAGGAACCAATCACACAGAAAACTCCGAGGACGGCTGAAATGACAGATGCCAATATAGTTACTTTATGCCGCGAGGCCTTTGCATTAGGTCGACCTTGCGCAGAAGGACTTTTAACGTTCACATAAGGACGTTGCACCTTAACGTAAAGAGTAGTGTTGTACGGCGATGCCACTGAATTTTCATTGTCAGCAATAGAAAAGACTTCATCTATTAATGAACAACTGCCTTTTCTTGATCCCTTGCTCTTAGGATCTTTAACAAAAAGAGCCGCTTTGCAAGAGCAATTTCTCAGACAAAGACTTTTGCAGTCGTCCACTAATGTATTCTCTTCGTATGACTGGAATGCCAAGTAATATGTGTTGTTCAGCTCCATAAGACTATGAGATTCGGGGTGATCACAAGAAATGGGTGTGACTAATGAACATCCAAGATTTGGTTGCCGAAAATGCGTTTCTCTGAAAAAGTTGACCTGGTCACTCGTGGAGTGGGGACAACTACACTGCCCCCCATCCGAACATACACCATACTTTCCACAAACCAGGGGTTGGCCGCAGGCTGAATCCATGAGACCGACAACTTCTTTCCAACCACCTGAATCTAGCTCAAATAAGTTAAAATCCCCGTCTGGCCCCAACGTTATGAATTTAGCTAATGATGTTATACTATCATATCCGAAGCTTTGAAATTTTCTGTTAGTATTGTAATGGAACGTTATTTCTCTAGTGATGGCGAAAAATTTTGACATAATGTGATCAAAACTAGAGAAAAGATATCTTTGAGGTGGATCGGAGTTTACATAAGCAGACAACCCCGAACTATCAAGAGAAAGATAAAACAAACCTTCACTCCAATTTGATGCTGAAACGCAGGCGGTCAGCCTCTGGCCTGATTTCAACTGCTGCCCTGGTAGTAAGGAATCAGTTGGATGATCAAAAGATTGCCAAATTGGCTCATTGTTTTGGCCAAATAGGACAAGATTTCCATCTTCATTCAAGTTCATCCCGGCAACTGACTTCCCCGCTGTTTGGGTAGACCATACCAGGGTGCCATCTGGATCTTTCAGGATCAAGTCTCCGTCTTGGCTGAGCTGCAACGTTGCATTCACTTGAACAGGATTGTTCCTGTTAGCTGACCATACTAGTCGAGGATAAGCGGTGGGGACGGGGAAAGCGTGCATTCCATTTCCATTTGTGGGGATCGAGTCTCTCTCTTGGCTGAACTGCAATGTTGCATTCACCTGAACATGATTGTTCCTGTTAGCCGACCGTACTAGTTGTGTATCAACCAGGTAACGTCCGCCGGTAACAATGACTCCGAAAATGCAGTCTTTATTAACATTGCCGATATAATTACAGTGGAACCCACAGAAAAACATTCCCAAGAGATTATCATTTTCTCTCATTAGGATTAGGCTGAATGTATGACTTGACTCATTGTCAAAAATCGAAGGAGAATTAACCCATGAGGTAGAAAGTTCCGCAGTCGAATTGTAAGATTGTCGGGCGTCTATTAAGGTTGAAGAGCACAGAAACAATCCAGCCAGAAGAAGAACAAGGACATGATAGTATATTTTTGGCCCCGTCAACAAAATCATGGCTGCCGCTTGATATCATCAGACGGTGTTATGGGCCTGAGATCGATGTATTATTCACTTCCTTCAAAAAGGTTTAAAAAAAAAAAAGAACAAAAAAGAAAGAAAGAGCACAGCGCATGTTTTTTTTACCCAAATGGGAGTATATTTTAGTGTTTGTTTACTTTGACAATGTAGAACCTTTAATGATGTTTGTCGTCAATGGCCATTTATTTCTTTTTCACATTTTCCTACCTTCAAAGAATTTTTTAGTACCCGTCATCAAATCATATTATTTCAGGCTTCTTTTTTTCCCCAAAGAAAGTAAAAGTTGAAGGTTCCTGGACATCATCCTTCAGCAGTGTACTACGTAAACGCGCCTTCTGACGACTTCAAGAACTCTTTGATATCACATATTGTTAGGCTGGAGAATACTACTAGTGGTAAAATATAGTGAATCAAACTACATTACCCCTCATTATTACGTCTTAAAAAGATTATCATCATTTATATTAAAAATATTACAATATATGATTAATAACTTAATAACTATTCAAATACAGTACGGATATTAAAAATGGGTGGCAATATTGTCAGGTCAATTTTTAGCCTCCAGGGCAAATTTTATGTTTCTTTCCGAAAATACCCTTTTTGAAGTCAAACTTCTATTTTCTCTCCTCCTGATATCGATCGCGATTCTGCAGAGTTAATCAGTTTCTCTCCCTATTTCTCTGCATTCCTCTTTTCACCCCCTCGCTTCTTCTTGAACTTTTTTCCTTTTGTACCACATCCGATAGGGATCAGACCTGTAGAGATCAAACATGGCCGTACACAACGTTTTCCTCTGTATTCTTTGGAGAATAATTCCGGGTAACTTTCGTTTGACCAGAATCGAGGTGAAAGATGTGCTCGAAAGGTAAACTTTTTGCTATATTGATCGATTCTCACAGAAAAGTGAATTGAAGTGAGATATTAAGGTTGATTATTGATGCAGGGTGAGATATTTAGACTTTGATTTTTCCTGCTTTATCTAAATTAAGTTGAGATTGAATTGTAGAATTAAATAATGAAAGACAGTGAGGTATAAAAATTGCACAGGTAGATGGGTAGTGCTCACCTTGGCCTAAGATAGCAGCTTTCAAATGCTCAAAGTTGGGTTCTTGGAATCAAATCACATATAAGATAGCAGCTAAGAAGGCTAAGATATGGTACAATAAGCTTAAACTCGATTGATCTTTGGATATGCTTAATTTTATTGCTTAAATAAGTTTCATGTTCCTTGGCAGTTATAACTTACATTTATATTTGATGGTTTAGACTAAGCGTTGCATAAAGTTAGATTTTTTTAACAACTCTTATAATTTTTGTTTGTGTTTTCATATGGATTTACAATGCGAGATGTGAAATATAATGTTTTTTTCCCCTTTATTTTTAATAATTTGTGAGGTTATCCAATTTATAGTGTTATTGATAGTTGATCCAATGGATTGATGATTGGAGTTGCAGAATTATGCTGGGCCGAGACTTGCCCATTCAACTTGGGCCGGGTCCAGGTATTATTTATTTTATGTCAAGTCTTATTTATTTCATACAACTAATACTTGACAGGGGCACTTGACGAGTCCATATCCACCGAGGATCATTGGATCGGCCCATCCGTCAATTATAGTCCAACCGACTTCGCAGAGGCGGTTCAGTAATAAGAAACCTAGTAGGATTCGCACGCTCTTCAAGGTAATTCAATGCCTATAAATAGGGTTGATCACACCACAATAGAGGTAATCTATCTCTAGCACCAATTATCACATACACACTTTTTCATAACCCTATTTCTAACTTAAGCATCAGAGTGTCTACCCTCAGGAGACACCCGAAGCTCTGTTTGCAAGCAAACCCTAACCGGAGTTTCATTGTTAACCCGAAATCACAATTCCAGGCTTCGTCAATTTCATGGAAGCTCATCAGTTCCAATTTGATCAGTTAGTAAGACTACACATAAAACATGAAGAAAAGTTTTCACAAAATTCAACTAAAATATTTATTTGCGAAACTTCCTTTTCGTTCTTATGAGTTTGGAAGAAAGAAAAAGAATTGGTGAAACAACAAAGAGGTGGCTTTCACTCTACACAGCCACAAGGGGGCAGCAACAGATTGCGAGTAATGGCCTCATTACAATGGTTTCATCAAAATACAGCTGATACATCTATGGATGATGATCGAAATGAACAGCCAACTTTATGAGCATTGAATTGAGTGAGATGGAGGGATTCCGATTTATCTTGCACCGGACAATACTGAAGGCAACACCTTTGAACCATAATCCATTGGATGATCACTAGCTTCCATTCTTGTAACTATTGCTGGATGCAAGAAATCATATTCAATGTTGGTTTCGGCTGCAATCAATCCCTCCATCACCTTAACCACTAAAGACATCGACGGCCTTTTGGTGAAATCACCTTGCAGACACCATGCTGCAATCTTCATCATCTCCACGGCTTCTTCAATGTTCTCTTGCATAATTTCACTTCTTTTATCCACCAATTCCTTGAGTTTTCCTTCTTCGGCTTTTCCCTTAAACACAGCAAGCAAGTGTTTGTCGCCGTCGATCCTAGACCAATCCAGGTTCTTCCTCCCGCAAATCATTTCCAGCATTACTATGCCGAAGCTGTATACATCCACCTTTTCGGTGATGGCTGCACTCAACCATTCAGGAGCCAAGTATCCCGGCGTTCCTCTCATCGTCGTGATGACTCTGCTTTGATCCTTTTCAATCAGCTTGGACAGCCCAAAATCAGAAATTTTTGCATTGAAGGTCTCATCCAAGAGGATGTTTTCTGGCTTGATATCCAAGTGAATTATTTTTGGACTACATTCTTCGTGAAGGTAGGCCAATCCCTTGGCTATATCTGAGATGATTTTTTTCCTGATGTGCCATGGAAGACAATGGTTTTCTTCGTTTTCATGAAAGATCCACCTGTCCAGGGATTTATTGGCCATATATTCATACACAAGAAGCCTATGTGATTTCTCAAAACAAAATCCTTTTAGTTTCACCAGATTTACATGGTGAATGCCTCCAATTGCCTTTACTTCCACAAGAAAGGAATCTCTCACTTTTGCTAAGCCATCAAGACACTTGACTGCTACTTTAGTTCCATCGCTTAGCATTCCTTCATAAACAGATCCAAAGCCTCCTTCCCCGAGTTTCTTACTAAAACCTTCAGTGGTGGCTTTCAAGTTTTCGTAAGAATATCTTGTAGGCATTCCTGGTACGCATAGAAAATCATCTTCGATTTCACTTTGTTCCTTTTCTCGCCTCCTGAAACAAATAAGCCATGAAACAATCACGCAGGACACCCCAGATACAGCTGCAAAGGCAGATGCCAGTATTTTAACTTTATGCCTTGAAACTCTTACATAACTAGGAGTTTCCGCCTTCACGTAAGGATGTTGCTGTTGCACCTTAACATAAAGAGTTGTATTATATGGTGATACGAACCCATTTCCATTGTCGGCAATAGAAAATACTTCATTTAGTAATAAACAACTGCCATTTATTGAACTTCTACCCTTGAAGGCCTGTTTTCCAAAAACAGTAGCTTTGCAGGAGCAGTTTCTCATGCAAAGAGTTTTGCACTCATCCACTGACATTTGTTGTTCATCTAGAGAAAAGGCAAAGTAATATGTGTTGCTCAGCGGCAGAAGAATATGATATTGGGAATCGTCACATGAAATTGGCGTGACCAATGAACATCCAAGATTTGGTTGTCCAAAACTCAGTTCTCTGAAATAGTTTCCATGATTACTTGACATTTCCAGACAACCACATTGCCTACCGTCCGAACAGACACCGTACGTTCCACAAACCAAGGGGTACCCACAAGCTCCAGATTTTAAGTCTATGAGATCAACAAGTAATGTCCAACCATTTTCACCACACTCAAATACCTTCAGGTGCCCATCTGGCTCCAACTTCATGAATTGTGCAACTGATGATGAGATGGTACCGTTGTTGAAGTTCCGGATTGTCTCATTGATATCACCTTGGAAGATTAAGCTTGCATTGGTGAGTAAAACAGATGGAGACTTATAAAGAGACTTAAAAAAACTATATCTTTGAGGCGGATCTGAGTTTACATAAGCACCCAACCCTTCAAAATCAACAGAAAGATGTAGCGAACCTTCACTCCAATTTGAATCTGAAACACTGGCCGTCAGCTTCTGTCCGCTTTCAAACTTCTGTCCTACAAGTAAGGAATCAGCAGGATAATCAAAAGATTGCCAAACGGGCTCATTGTTTTGGCCGAAAAGCACAAGATTTCCGTCTTCCTTCAAGTTCATTCCGGTAACAGAGTTGCCCTCTGTTTGGCTTGACCATACCATTCTGCCACCAGAATCTTTCAGGATCAAATCTCCATCTTGGCTGAGCTGAAATGTTGCATTCACTTGAACAGGATTGTTCCTGTTCGGTGACCATACTAATTGTGGTGAACTCATGTAGTACTCAGCATCATAGTTAGAGTTATTTCCATTGATGGCGATAAAGACCCCGAATGTGCAGCTTTTTTTCCTTTGGTCATTACAGTATATGCAGTCTTTATGATCAGGAGAATCAGTCGTATCGACGTCGTCAAGAACACAGTAGAAGCCGCAGTAAAACGCTGTTGGGCCATTTAGTCTCATCAGGATTGGGCTGAATGTGCCTGAGTCCTCGACAAGCATTGAAGGCTGATTCATCCATGAAGTGGACAGATTTGCTGTGGAACTGTAAAATTGTTGGGAGCATGAAAAGGTTGAACAGGACAGAAACAAACAGGCAAGGAGAACAAAGACGTGATATAATTTCTGCTCTGAAATCATGGCTTTCTACTGACTTTTTTGCTCAGAGGATGCTTTTTTCCCCTGTTTACTCAGATTGCTCTTTCACAAAAAGTGAGAAACATGTGTTCCCCGGTCAAATCTTTGCTTAATGCTTTTGAGGTTTTATTTTAATTACGTTTACTTTGACTTCTTCTTTTTTACTTCTTCTTTTTTGTCTTTGAAAAAAAAAATATATGTTGACCTTGACTCTGTATGTATAGTGTCAGATGGGTCAGGAACTTTCCTAGAAGTTCCTGTAAATTTGACAAAACGACGTCGTTCCATCATGTGACTCATTAGCTCTTCAGTTTTTACCTTCCTAATTTCTTCGGTTATCAGCTTGAGTCAAGCCGATTATGGTTGGAATGGAATTTGGAAAGATAACATTATCTTCTCTCTCTTTCTCCGTCCCAACCGCTTACTTCATCTGTCCTCCGGTGGTCTTTAATTAGTGAAGTCACTGTCGGCTTTTAATTTTTCCCATCCGGTGCTTAAAGAATTGTATTTCTAATAGTTAAATCATGTATATTGTTGCTTCTTTGTCCATAACCTGCTCAAAAAATCCGGAAAATATGTCTACGATCCCAAACTTTTTCAGCCGGGAACCCAAGTTTGTGAACCATTTCCCATGGATGTATGGACCCATTCAACAGTTGGCCCTTCAAAAGCGTCACCAGTGGCGGTGCTAACTTCCATGGATATGAGATATAATTTCTTTATTTCACTCCCGAATTCACTCCGATTTGGTGTTGGGTTCCGGTGTTGGGTTTTGGCTTCGTCTAGTTTATGATTTCTTTCTACTTACGCCATTAATTATGTGTTAATTTTGTTGCTTTGAAGTTTAGTTGTCAAATCAATAACCGGTGATGACATTTAGTTCATTCCATTATGTATTGGAGATTACAAATCTGATTTTGAAATCTGGTATCAACTTGTCAAGAATGACATTTGTGCATCCACTTAATAGCTTGCCGGTGCTAGTTTCTGCTTTCTGCTGATTAGAGAAGTTGGCGGCTGGAATATTAATGCCTATGGGATGAAAAACCGCGGTTGGATTTTGAAGAAGATGATGTAAATATTAAATATGTAAAAAAGGATTGACTTCGGCTTGGCTTTAATGTATAGCGAATAAGTTGGGAAGAAACATACAACACGAACATCCTCAATTGGGCATCATTTCGAGAAATAATCAACCTTGAAAGTCGATTGTGCTATTTTTGTAATGCTTCTTCAATGGATATCTTCTTTAACTTTATTTTATTTGTTTGTCAATACAAATTGAAACCAAACCGCGGCAGTGGAGTGGTGATTAACTTGGTGATTTCGCTTCGGATTAATAAGGGAAAAAAATTTCCAAAAAATAACAAGTCGCGGAAGGACAAAAGAGTAATTCGATATTAAACATAACAGAATGAGGCTTGTACGTTGTGTGATTCATTTTATTATTAAGTTGATGAAATGATATTGAATGACAAAACATAGATGAAATGATGTTGAATCAGGGGCGGAGCTAAAGCCCGAACACTAAGTGGGGCAAAAATCATAATACCTAAAAATGTTCGTCACAGAAATAATTACTCTATGTTCCACCAAAATGATCCGCATAATAAAATATAAATTATACTACACAATATAATTTACAATATAAATAATTTTTACGAGGGAGGATATGATAAAATTATTAAAATTTTCTTTACAACAACTCATGTTTTCTTCACAAATATATAAGGCAAACTTTAATTTGTCACCAATGATTACAAACTCACAACGGCATAGGAATTAATTTATTTTTTAAGAAAAGGGCTAATTCTCCAAAAAAAAAAAAATGAGTTCTAAGAATGTAGATAGATCTAATGCAAAGAGAATGGAGATTTCTTTCTCCCATTTGTTTGAACCCTTAAGTGAAGAATATGGAGTAAATTTTGTGTATGTTTAGGAAGATGGAAAGTGAAAAAGGATTTTTAAAAATTGTGAAATCAACTGTGAAGTTAAATTTGAAATATTTAATTTCTTTAGAGTATAATTGCATTGCGTGTCCCGAAAATTAATTAACACGTCTAATGAAAATCAACTCTCCATTAATAATTTTTTCCTACAAATAAATATTACTTTGTAGTTTTGGTTTATGCCCCTTGTCTTTTGAATTTTTACTGGGGCAAAAATGAAGAATAAGAACAAATCTGGGTAAATTTAGGAATAAATCAAGGGTAATTAGAAAAAAAATTCAACTGAGGCTATTGCCCCATCTCACTTGTACATGGCTCCGCTTTTGTGTTGAATGAAAAAACATACATTATAAAGAATATAGACTACAAATATTAGAAGGGATGAAATAAAAGAACATGTGTTTTAGAAACCAATATTTTAAGTAACAAAATGAAGAATATGATAATTATTAGGATGGGAAACAACATATTTCAAAGATAATCCAGTCACGAGGCAATTAGTTTGATGCTATAAACGAAGGGTGATGATTTCGATCTCTCCACTTTCAACCCCTTGCTGATGTTTCCACTGATTCCCGGCACCAACTACTTTTTGCCGTATAGGAATGCACTTCTTTGCAAATCTCATAAACAAAGGCACAATAAACATGCAAAAGTTCAGATGATGTTGATAATCCAAAGTCCAAACCTTAAAATACAAAATGAGGACTCATTAAGACAAAAATGACCAAAATTAAAAATTTAAGCATAAACATTAAAAAGCACCTTACTTTGGTGGAAACTGAAAAGAAGAAAACTATGGGGATTTGGAAAATATGGTGAAAAATATGTGACATTCTAATGGCATATTTATATAGGTTGTCAGGCAATTCACATTAGTATTCAAATCCAATACAAATTGCACAAAATTAAAGAACTCCTACTTCTATTTGTACTAAATCTTCAGTCCTAAATGAAGAGATAAGATTAGTGATATTGAGTTTCCTACTCATACGTCTAACCAAGAAATTACCTGATAGCAATTGCCTACTCGTATTGTATTTCTAAATTGTTATCCTCTTTATTTTAGATTAGATAAGATTAGATATAAAACTTGAGTTTGTGAAAAATAGTCGGAGAGTACAATTTAATTCAAAATACTGATAAATATAAAATTATTAGTAAAAGTAAAACCGAAAGAACAAGCTAAAATGAAAAACTAAAATAACAGTAAAGATGGATTTACCCGATTCAGTTCCTGTTTAGAAATCTCACGAGTTAAAATACTAAAACAGTGATCTTCTTGCTGACTATTATACTAAGCCAGTAAAAGATCAAAAGTAGGTAAATCGAGCTTCTATTTGTATCAAGTTGTAAACAGGTGCTTATTTTATTTTGATTCAGCGATTTACCCGATTCAGTTCCTGTTTAGAAATCTCATGAGTTAAAATACTTAAATAGTGATCTTCTTGCTGATTATTATACTAAGCCAGTAAAAGATCAAAAGTAGGTAAATCCAGCTTCTATTTGTATCAAGTTGTAAAGAGGTGCTTGTTTTATTTTGATTCAGCAACTGTCCTGTTTTTGTATCTATGTGGTAAACTGTTCATCATCATCATGAATGGTATGTGCTGCGATGCAAGGTGTGCACTGGATCAGGGATAATCTATAAGGTGTCAGTTTTGTGTTAATTACCAAACACTGCATCTCAAGAAATGTGTGACTTCTTGGCACCTTGACATCAAGAATAATGAATATGACTCTGGCTAATAACTCTTTTTTTTTCTTTTCTTTTTTTTAAGCTCGGATTATCACAGCAAAATATATTGTAGCCCGTGTCAACTTGTAAAATTTTTTGAAAGTTCTGAATTTCTTCCAAAAGGGACGGAGGAAGAAGAAGACCTCGAGTAATTAAAACCTGAGAGTATGCACACAAGCTACATTTTAACTCGTTATGAGTTGCAATTTTGACATTGATGGAAGGTTTGTGATGAAGCATGGAATTGTATCGACGTCTCCGTTTCAACTAACCGGCAGCCATGGCGGTATCGAAACCCTAAAACCTACAAAAGAGGGCCTCGAGGTCTCTCGAGGGTAGACACTCCGGTGCTTAAGTCAGTAAGATTATTCGTGATAAGGGTATGAACGGGTGCATAAAGCGTACCTTTAACCATAAGGGGTTGATCCCTATTTATAGAGCTAGGTTATAGAACCCTTTCTTGGTAGGAAAGTAATTAGGAACCGACTTAGAACCTTCCAGAGGCTGGTTGGATCTTTTACCGAACTTGGGCCAGCCTAGTCGTGGGCCGTACTAATTTGGACTCGTCAAATGCCCCTTATCAAGCCTATACTTTGAAGTCTTAAGATAGGGTAGGCTTGATAATGTGGAGTATATAGTTTCCTCAAGTTCGGGAAAAACTGACTTGGATCGAGAACCTGTGACAGGTTAGCATCGAGGAGAAATTAAAGCAATAAAAGCATTAGCACGAACCTTGTCGAATGCACGTATCATAAAGGACGATTGACATTTATGCCAATTTGTGACGAAAGGAGAGTCATCAATTTAAACTTTTGAGTGAGAAGTCGATAGGTGATGATCTCAATAATCTGCCCCAAAGAAATACTAGAGCAGATGCCCTGTTGCTTGAGAAGATGATAAAGAGGAGTGGAGATTCCCACTACTGTCATTGATCCAGACATTAGTCGAGAAAGCATCATTTGATGATCTTCACAATCTACGCCAAAAAAATATCGAGGCAAACGCCCCGCTCCTTGAGAGGATTATAGAAGAAGAAGTAGTGGAGATTCTCACTATTTCATATATAATGGTATGTTGTCAATAACTGATAGAACAAGAGATCCGCTCGAAGACTATAATACGCACTTCTGATCGAGAAGCATTAACTCCAAATTTCGAGAATAATAAATGAGAAGCGATATCGAATAGCCTCGTGAATAGAGGCAAGAGATATGCCTAAATGAGGTCGAACACATGAATCTCGAGGACTTCGAGAAGATAATCTCGAGAAGGAGATGTCTGACAATACTATGTTGAGAACCAAGAGAGAAGATGTAATAGGCTGTGATTATTGACATTTGTTGTCGAATACATAAGTTTGAGAAGAAACATAAGCTGGAGCTGCATGCCAAGAACTTGGCCCAATATACTCTGTTGTCGAGAAGGAAACGTAGCGGAGATTCCCACTAGTCTCAAAATATGCGCCATTAGCAGCGGCTAAGGCATGTCCACTGTCGAAATGCGTATGCTTCTAATCGAAAAGTAATAGACTCAGACCTCGAGAATAACCACAGAGTAGTAGAAGCATCATAAATGAAGACAGAGAATACTCGATGTCGAGGACATAAGTATGGGATTGAACTGCGCCCCGAGAACTTGCCCCAATGTGACCTTCTGTTTAAGAAATCTAGAGACTCGAGAAGACCAGCTCGAGTGTAATATAACATCAGAGAGAAGATTCTCTCGAGTAGAGCTCCCGACCAAACTCAAGAACTATAATCATCTGACCTCGAACAAGGTACACAAGCATTTAAGCTTATTTATATCCGCCCAACCGACCCGCTTGCCATTTCTCATGTCCCGAGAAATAAAGCATAGAACCCTTAGTCCGGGTTTGAGAAGTATAAATCAGGTTGATGTGTCAAACCCGAGTAGATGTATAATGTCATTGCAAGAGATTTTGAGCAAGAATCGAGGAGGTATTACACATTAATGTGAGAAGGAATGATGCCCCAGTATGAGAATAGTCATAGGAAGAGATCCGTAGACCAATAATCATCGAAAAAACAAAAACACAACCTCCCAAACACCTCCAAAACGCCTTACACACCTTCCAGACACCTTACACACCTTCTAGACGCCTTACAATCTCCCATATATAAACACTTCTCGTTATAGATAACCCCGGAGCCATTACTCATCTCGGAGCCCCCAAGTCTCGGGGTGGCATTTGGCAGACCAAGACTTTAGATGAGAGTGTAATTCCCGTCGCTCAGTTCGAGGAGGTGCATGATCAAGAAGCCCCCATACTCGTAGGGTTAAGGCAATAAAATGACGTCTATTAGAAAGAGATGGATGACAACCACCTTATAGAAGGAATAGTCCTGTATTAACGAGGCGCAAAGTGAATTCAAGAACATTGAGAATAAAGTCATTTTCATTCTGATGTACTGGATGATATGATAGATCGATCCAAGAAAGTATAATCGAGAACAAGTCTAGTTCTCATTGAGGTATAAAACACGTGTGTTCAGGTTCGAGGGACAGTCAATCCCTTATTCATGAAGATGATAATCTAGGCCTTTCTCAATACCGGATGTTGAGTACACGGCTTATGAGTTATTTGTAAAGCGCTTATAATGGCCGGATGTTAAGTACACAGCTCTTTTGCAGGCGATCCTGAAGAGGATACCTTTGTACAGACGATTCTAAAGAGAATGTCTTTTTAAAGAAAATCCTGAAGAGGATTTCTTCGAGGTAACTGGGTACGAGTTCCTCGAATACAGACGATTCTAAAGAGAATGTCTTTTTAAGGACGATCCTGAAAAGGATATCCTCGAGAAAACTGGGTATGAGTTCCTCGAACATAGACGATTCTGAAGAGAATGTCTTTTTAAGGACGATCTTGAAAAGGATATCCGTTCAAGTGAGTAGTCATGTTTAACTGGGTGTAACTGCGTATATGAGATATAACAGCTCCCATGAGTACTCGAGTGGGCTACCACTATGTTCATTAGACTGATAGTCTATTTCCCGGGTTTAAAATATAAACGCCCTAAGGTCAGAGCAAACTTGACGATGCCGCTATCCTCAAGGGATCAGCTACAAGAGTTACGTATCTTTAATTATTTTGCCCCAGAGTTCTCGGGGTATGTTTTTCCTGCAACTTAGTCCGAGACATGTATTGCAAGTATAATAACGACATGCTTATGTAAACAGTGTGAAATTCATCTAATAAGCATATAAAGAGGCTCTCAAACCTTGAAAGTATTCCAGTGTGATATGCCATTCTCATAGATTAAGGATGCATACCTAAAGGCTCGTTCGAGCATACCTTGGTTTAGAGGGAGAATCCATTGGAATCCTTTCATGATAATTGTCGAGGACATAATACTCGGATGGTGATGCCTCTTGAGCGCCGGCATCATGATAAACCAGGATGGTTCTTTGGTCCTGACAAAATACCTACTCATACACTTGTAGATTTATTAGTGAGTAATAAATTATCAAAGCAGAGAAGTGTCATACAACGCAATATATTATTGGGGGCCTCTATCCCCTTCAAAAGCAGCCATTTTGAGACATGAAATGTAATAACTGGAAAGATCTCACCGCGATACGAGCAAGATTATCGAAACCATGGTTTGATTAGCTCACAACGGTTATGAAAGGATGTTGCAGAGATCATGACATGCTTCTCCACGGATTTGTACTTACTACGGACCCCTGAGGAATCATAGCGATTTGTCTTAGAGCCGGACCATCAGATGTGAAAGTCATTGTGGCTTCGAGATAATAAGTTCAATCTAGTTGTTCGGTAGAGTAAGCACAACGATCTATTGCAACTCATGGCTCAAGAAAGAGGAACCATCCTACACAATGACTTTTAGAGCATATCACCGACAACTGTAAGTACGAGAGGGGTATCTACCCCCTTTCAAAAGAAAAGGAAATAAACATGACTTAGCTATCGTGTTTAAGATAGGTCGAAAAATTTACGTGTGGAGAGTAAAGAAAGCCATGTATATGTAGAAGCTGTAGCACCATGCTTCATGACTAATATACGGTGACACAGATAATTGGTAAATAAGTCATGCATCTGAGAAAGACTTTTCATTCCAAAAGTTTGCATGTGAAAGTTCGAGGACACTAAAGAGGCCCAAGAGACACATATGCCTAATGTGTCATGTAAGAACAATTATTCAATGAACTATCGTAACATTCAGATTGTAAAGCAGATGTTCATATATTTAGGAAATAATATTATAAGAAAATCGTATCACTTACCTGTTGACACTCTTCCAGGGGTATCCTCAAGTTAGAGTAGTAATACCTCTTTGTCGAGAGACTCCTCGTTGTTGACGAGTGAGCTTGTTCTTGACACGCACCATGTAGTGGTCCTCTATTTGTTGGAGGCCACCATGGTCTGATTATACTCTTGGATCATAGAGGGGCTATCTCCGTTCCCATATTTCTGCAAGTTCTGCAAAATATGAAGAAGTTCTCCCAAAACTCGAGCATGCCTTTGTGATAGAAGGCCCTGCATAACTATTCCCAAGATCATATAGTAACAGCTTTTCGAGAAAGATAGAGGCAATCGATATAATGTGCTATGGTTAGATTTTAAGTCGTCAATAGCAATTAAACTCCACTCAAGAAAGCATAGATGTCACGGCTCTATGAAGAATATGTATGAAGAACAGATTAATGATTATATGATTTATGTGATTTGAGACATTAAATCAGTCATACATGCACATTGAAGTTAGAGCCAATAGAATGATGTTAGTAAAACTCGATCCTCAATTCATGAGTCCATCTCAGCCTCGAAGAATCGACTGAGTGGATTAGGGAATATCACGAAAACATGCATGTATGATGTTTTCAAATAATTCATGTGATATACTATTTATTCACGGAGATGGTATCCAAAGAACATGTAAATTCCAAGGAGATAATAACATTTATCTTCCTTTTCGAGCATGTCATTGCCCCTCTGAATGGGTTGCTTCGTGATTCGAGAAGGATGCTCCTCGAATTGTCTTATTGTAAGACATGCAAAACCAAGTAGTACAACTGCGCCACTCTCGGGCATGTTATTGTAACTGTACATATTTTGTTAGATAACCTCAAGGGAGGCACTGTGTAATTTAAATAGCATAACTAAGTTTAGAGCTACTTATCTCCTTTCAAATCAGTCGAGGAGATTGTCTCCACTCTTGTCATAGGTCTAATCTGTGTGGTTACCACTGTATGTACCCTCGGTCCCTTGAAAAGTCGAGCTATGCTTGCATAGCTGTTCACTTCGAGCAAAACGTTAGTTGTTCTAATAATAAAGTAGTTGGACCCTTGGTGAGTATAAAAGAATTATGCACGGCTTAAAATGAAGTAAGCATGCGAATATCATGTTCTGATTTAAGAATAGGGTAAGCGATACCCCGAAATCGGTGAGCTGTGCATGCAATTCAAATTGTAATGTTATTGAAACACTTTTTCAGAAAATCCCCATGTTGGTTGTGATGACAAAGAGGTACTGAGTCATAGAAGTATGTGAGAAAACCTTATTAGAAAACATACAATCGACATGCTAATACTATGATTATGTAGCAACAATAGGATCAGGGAGGCACAATATGCGTATTTATGCATAATGATGCTTGAGATTTAAATTTGTCATCATCAAACAGAATAAGTTCGGAAAGCAATGATGTATGACATGAACTTATTTGTAATAGAAGGCTACGATAAATTATCTGTCATGAAAGTCTCTGCATCGTGCATTTATGTAGGAATGGGTGTTTCAGCTTGTGCTGCTGGAAACAAATGAGTGGCTTCGTGCTCAAGTCTCGAGAACGTTGTGCGCCTCTCCGAGGAGATGTTACCTTTGAGATATCAAGTTGCCTTTTGCTGTAAAGTTACGACTTGTGTGAAAAATAATGAAACCATTAGAGGTAAGGATGATAAATAATATCAGAAGGGACTGAATCATAAATTCTGTTTATTTAAAGAGAATTTTGTCCAAGTATGTCCTTTGACGGTCCAGTGGCTATTCTGCGCATTCAGAAAATTTAGCGTCAGAGTATATAAATAATAAAATCACTAAGGACCGTTTTAGAATTGTCATAAAATTTAGAATCCTTGTTGAGCAGTTGTGGTAGCTGGGATCTTTGCCGTAACTAGAGGCTTCATAGTTCTCGCTGGCTGATTTGCTTCTCGATCTTGATTGGTATGAGGAGGCTGTGTAATCTCTCAAATCAAATTTGATGGACAGTAGTTTCCTTGGTCAACCACGATAAGAGTCATTGACCCTTGGACAAGAATTAAAATATTGCCCATAGGTAAATACATGGCAAACTTGTTAAAAAAGATTAGAAATCGATCGCTAAGTACCAGTGAGTATTATGCTTAAGCAGTAGATGATAGGATTGATTTTAATTCAATAATGCATTTGAACATGTCATCAAATTTTCTGAGGAAGTCTTACCTCGAATATGTATGTTAAATAAGTAGTTTCGAGTTCTGACAACTTATCTATAGTCATACTGCCATGTCTGCTACCAATATTATCACTTTTTACTAGATACTCACTGTAGAAATCAATAAGCAAAAATAGGAGCATGCCTATAAAATAACCAGAGCTATGGTTTATACACTCCAAAAATCAAAGAGCCATATCACTTAAAAAATTAAGTAAATCTCGGCTAAATCAGTTAGCATATTTATACAGATAGATTCGTATGCTAATTCGAGAAAGACAATGAAGCATAGAATATGCAGTGGTTAATTTTTAAGATTCGTGAACGATTCTTCGTCTCATGAGGAGATCATCGGACTAAAATTAACTTCAGTAGTTTCCATGGCTTATACATGCCCAAAGGAATAGAAATTAAGAATCCTTAAGAAAGTGGGTATTTTTTATGAAAATTTCACGATGGAATTATTAAAGCTTCCTAGGAAATTATAGTCAGGAATTCGCGAGCATCATGCACCCAATATTATAAGCCATGTTTAATTAAAAAAGATAGAACCTGGATATTTTGACTTGGCAAAGTTTCGTGTGTGCAATCATCCATGATTATTCAATGGAGACGCTCTAACCATCAGCATCTTTGGATCCCGTATGCGTCCAAATTTGTGCTTTGTGTGGACCATGATTTACGTTCACTGTCCTTGGCTATCAAAACTCGAAGGAGGCACATCGCACCGAAACCAAGATCCAACGGTTTAAACCTTCTCACGAATATTTGTTGATGGATAAACCCTAATTGGGTCTCACTAGACGTGTCACTTGACAAAGCATGGAATTGTATCGACGTCTCCGTTTCAACTAACCGGCGGCCATGTCGGTATCGAAACCCTAAAACCTGCAAAAGAGGGCCTCAGAGTCTCCCGAGAGTAGACAGTTCAATGCTTAAGTCAGTAAGATTATTCGTAATAAGGGTATAAATCGGGTGCATAAAGCATACCTTTAACTATGAGGGGTTGATCCCTATTTATAGAGCTAGGTTATGGAACCTTTTTTTTGGTAGGAAAGTAATTAGGAACCGACCTAGAACTTTTCAGAGGCCGGTTGGACCTTTTACCGAACTTGAGCCGGCCTAGTCGTGGGCTGTACTAATTTGGACTCGTCAGTTTGACTTCATGATTAAGTGTTAGTTCAATCGAAAATAATAAAAGGTGAAAACAAAATCGATTTAGCAAATGAGGGAACGAAAATAGATTCGGAGGGGATACCTAATTTTGCTAGCCTTGTTCCCAACAGATAGATATTTTCGATAAGTTGAATAAATCGAATTCCATAGAGAGATTCGGAGGTGCATTTGATAATGAACCAGTATAAGAAAAAACGACGACGAGAAGAGGCAAGGAGGAGGAGGACCAAGGTGGAGGAGGAAGAATAAACAAGCGATGCCCATATCCAAAAAATTAGGGGAAAGGGGGATTTGGGGTTCTTTTGAACAACATCTCTGAACGGCGTCGTCTTCTAATGGCATATTTATATAGGTTATCAGGCAATTCACATTAGTATTCAAATGCAATACAAATTGCACAAAATTAAAGAACTCCTACTTCTATTTGTGCTAAATCTTCCATCCTAAATGAAGAAATAAGATTAGTGATATTGAGTTTCCTACTCACACGTCTAACCAAAAAATTACCAGATAGCAATTACCTACTCGTACTGTATTTCTAAATTGTTATCCTCTTTATTTTAGATTACATTGATAAGATATAAAACTTAAATTAATGAAAAATTGTCGGAGAGTACAATTTAATTCAGAATACTAATAAATATAAAATTATTAGTAAAAGTAAAACCCAAGGAACAAATTAAAATGAAAAACTAAAATAACAGTAAAGGTGGATTTACCCGATTCAGCTCCTGTTTAGAAATCTCACGAGTTAAATTACTTAAACAGTGATCTTTTTGCTGATTATTATACTAAGCCAGTAAAAGATTAAAAGTGGGTAAATCCAGCTTCTATTTGTATCAAGTTGTAAGAAGGTGCTTGTTTTATTTTGATTCAGCAATTGTCCTGTTTTTGTATCTCTGTGGTTAACTGTTTATTATCATCATGAATGGTATGTGCTGCGATGCAAGGTGTGCTCTGGATCAGGGATAATCGATAAGGTGTCAGTTTTGTGTCAATTGCCAAATACTGTATCTCAAAAAATGTGTGACTTCTTGGCACCTTGACATCATGAATAATGAATATGACTTTGGCCAATAACTCTTTTTCTTTTCTTTTCTTTTTTTTACTGTGTTTTTTTTTTTTAACTCGGATTATCACAGCAGAATATATTGTAGCCCGTGTCAACTTGTAAAATGTTTTGAAGTTCTTAATTTCTTCCAAAGGGGACGGAGGAAGAAGAAGACCTCGAGTAATTAAAACCTGAGAGTATGCGCACAAGCTACATTTTTTAACTCGTTATGAGTTGCAATTTTGACATTGATGAAAGGTTTGACTTCATGATTAAGTGTTAGTTCAATCGAAATTAATAAAAGGTGAAATCAAAATCG